TTACGTAGACCGATCATCACTGCTTTACATAGTTATACAATCAGCTCTTTATTGAGCAAATATGGTATATAATTGTTTTTTTTTTTTACTAAATTTTGGAAATGTTCATCTATACTCGACAAATTACATTTATTTGAACGTCATATTACGGATGGATCTCGGCAAATAGTTCCAAAGTGTAGCAACAATACTCCATTCCGTTTAGATACTTTAACAATTAGATTGGGTTTAGGAACGTGGGTTTTTCTTGTTGTATTGGCCACTTTAAACGGGTTGAACGGAGATAAGTGTCCCTGTCTTGGCTACTAAAGTGAGGTGGCCACCAGGTGTGACAAAAGCGGTTTTACTGTATTAATTCTGACGTATATGTTTATATTTAAAGTCGATACAAATTTTATTAATAAACTTTTATATATTTTAAAGTCGATACAATCTATATACGTATGAACTCAACTAAAGTCGTCACTAAATAAAAATTTTCAAATTGTCATTTCTCACGTGCGCCGACTCGATCGCACTAAAACGCGGGCGCGGACATCTTGTTACATACGGGTATGGCGAATCGAAAAACACCCGATTGCTTTATTCGAAGGAAGTAAAAAAAAGTAGAAGTTATTTTTAGGTGTCATTTTGTTATCCACATATCTATATACAGTATCTAAAATGAACAAAATCACTTCGCACCCTTTCCATTAATCAAATTTGTCATACGAGGTCTTAAATTAAACCTTACGACCTCTAGATGCGCAGGAAACTCTAAACATTTGAATATATTTCGACTTGATCGAATTATTAATGTGAGGTCGGCCGATTAGGAGTGAGGTGTTTTCGACAGCTGAGCGATCACTACTGTCGTGTGGGCGCGGAATGACTTACCGAGACAGGTTTACCATATATAACCGTTTAATAATATACATAAATTGTTCTTACAACAATCCAATAAGTCGGGCAAGAGCCTATCCCACGATGGGTTTCTGTCACAGTTCCCGAAAATCGGAAAGTTCGAATGTTCGATTGGTCCCTGGGGAGCTTTCGGCACTGTGGACGCAGAGAACGATGGCCCCGGGGCACGCACCAGCACTTGTAGTGATGTCCTCGGTTGACAAGTCGAACCTCGGCGATCCTAGAGTGGACGGGTTGGCGAAACCAGTTCCTAGGTCGTCGAAAGAGCCTTCGTTGCGTCTTGGTCGGGAGCACCAAATCCCGACAGGTGAGCACTACACACCAAAACCCAAGACCCCGTAAAGTTCCCGAAAACGCGGTTTTATCGATTTTTCCACCGCGGTCGCCTCTCCATTGGTCTCTCCTCGTCACATGGTGACAATTCGAAACTCCAGGAAGGGCGCGGGAGAGGTCAACGTCGCGTCGGAACACGACTCCTCTCCAACCTCGTTTTCTTCGACTTTACTCTATCTATTGTTTAAAATCTTTTAACAAGACAAAAGGTTCATTGTTTAAATCCGATCTTTAAGTTCGCTCTTTCGCACTACGAAACTTGACTCATTTAAAAAGTCGTTAATGGACTGCTTTCGGACCCCGTTTGGGTCCTCACATTAACGATTTTAGTGATTTTCGATCGGTCATGTCATTAGTAACACTACACGCGGTCTATTATTAGGTCTACAATCTTTTGCATTATACAGTAAATTCCTATGCTAATTTTTTTTTTGAATATTTTAAATGAAATAGTTGATTAAAACAGGATATAAAACTTTAGACAAGACATAACTTATAAATATACAACAGATGAAAAAAAACAATAAATGGCGAAAACTGTGAAAATCACTTGTTAAAACAACGAAAGTAAGTTGAATAGTTATTTAAAATAGATATTTAGCAAAACCTTGTGGGTCGTTATGTTGTCACAACAATGTAGATATTGCAGACCACGTGCACTGATACTTTTGACCACCATTATTTAATTCAATAGTTAAGAACTTTATACGTCGAAATTAAGTCGTCTTCCACCCGTTAAAGTGAAATATATAATAAATCCAATATTTTTAATACTTTGCTTACGTCAAAATGAAGCACGTAATAATACAATTACGTGACAAAACGTATACGTTTTCATACAATCATAAAAACGTTATAGCCTAAATGTATTTAAAGCGCTATAGTGTTTCTAAAATATATAGATATTAAGACGCATAGTGCAAAATATTCTAATAAATAGACCATGTGACCCATCAAAAATCGCCAAAATCCATAAGAATCCGATTGAGTCGCAATATTCAAAATTTTAATATCAATAGGATATGTCTGTTACTCGCCACTCCCATTGTGGACCCGACCGCATCCACGAAAGGCCCTCTTAGTGCCGCGGGGCGAAAAGAGCAACAGGGCCTTTTAATCAAACAATTCGATTTCCATTATTAATCGTTTAAATAACTATTCAGGTTTAAAATAAACACAAATACATGTATTTTGTATGTACGAATCATAAGATTTATTACTGTTATATTTTCTGGTAAAAGAATTTTGCTTATTTAAAATAGATTTTTGCATTTACTAATCGATCAAAAGTCTTTCGTTTTGTGCTGGATTGTCCATTGTGATACTTCGAGTCACTCTGTAAGATTCTTTTGGTACTAAATGAGAACTCGGCATAATTTTGAAAGGAGGTGCCTTTTCGGCGGATGACGTGTGGAAGGCTGATGTATCCTTCAATCACGGCACGTCGTATTGATAAAGATTTGAACGTGGCCTCGTGTGTTGATTCAAACATTCCGTATCTAACCGTAACGACTTTTCCTTTCTCGCCTCCGTTTTCTTTTCTCTTCCTAAAGTTCGTTCTGGTTTCCACTCGGTTCCAATACCTCCAAGAGCTTGCTTCACACGTCCTTTTCCGTCTCGTACTCTCTACCAGAATGCCCTCCTGTACCCCTTTTTACCCTGAGGGTCACACCTTCCCCTTTGTTTCACAGGGGTCCCCCGCTGTTCCACCGTTAAACAAAAGAGGGAAGAAACTTCCAGAAAGACAATAGAAAAGGAAGACAAAGGAAAATATATAAAGAAAATATGAATTATAACTATACAATTATGGCTTGTAGCCACACACTATTTGATTTACCTGGCTGACCATGGTTGGCAGATGGATTTGTTGCATGACAATGTTTGTGGAGAGGATGAACACTAGGCAACATCATCATCTTCCTCCAGCAATCAGTCATGTAATACTGCATTTTCAGACAAAAATGGCTGCCAATCATTGTCAGCCAGATAAAAAAAGAGGTGCTGCTAGTTGCTTTTTTATTGTCAAAAATGAAGAAAGAAATAAAAGGAATGAGATGACGGATGTCACTTTCTCACTTCACAAAAGTTGGCACTAGTACCATCTGAGACAGTTGCTGATTGGGTGTTTGTTGCAACAAGTTGTTTTTCAACGTTTTGGAAAACCAATGTTGGCCAAATTCATTATTGATCACACAATCATGTAGTGTTGTCTTGCTTAATGCAGTGATCTTGTCAAAGATTCATTAATCTGTTACCTTCATTAAGGAAGATTGATCCCTATTATGGTGCATTTTTACAGCCTGGCCAAGAGTTGCAAAACCATCTATATTTTGATATTTAAAATTTAATTTTTAGTACCATTTAAAAAGTTGCAAAACATTTTGTAAACTTGAAAATGTAACTCTTTAGATACAGATTGAAACCATATATAGAATAGACATGTAATGTTTATTCTTGCTTTTAAAAGGAATTTTTTTTTCTATGGACAGGCATCACTTTCTTATCTGGTGGTCAGTCGGAAGAGGAAGCATCTGTTAATCTCGATGCCATCAACAAACATCCCGGCAAGAAGCCCTGGGCTTTAACTTTCGAATTATTAATGTGAGGTCAGCCGATTAGGAGTGAGGTGTTTTCGACAGCCGAGCGATCACTACTGTCGTGTGGGTGCGGAATGACTCACCGAGACAGGTTTACCATATATAACCGTTTAATAATATACATAAATCGTTCTTACAACAATCCAATAAGTCGGGCAAGAGCCTATCCCACGATGGGTTTCTGTCACAGTTCCCGAAAATCGGAAAGTTCGAATGTTCGATTTGTCCCTGGGAGCTTTCGGCACTGTGGACGCAGAGAACGATGGCCCCGGGGCACGCACCAGCACTTGTAGTGATGTCCTCGGTTGACAAGTTGAACCTCGGCAATCCCAGAGTGGACGGGTTGGCGAAACCAGTTCCTAGGTCGTCGAAAGAGCCTTCGTTGCGTCTCGGTCGGGAGCACCAAATCCCGACAGGTGAGCACTACACACCAAAACCCAAGCCCCCGTAAAGTTCCCGAAAACGCGCTTTTATCGACTTTTCCACCGCGGTCGCCTCTCCATTGGTCTCTCCTCGTCACATGGTGACAATTCGAAACTCCAGGAAGGGCGCGGGAGAGGTCAACGTCGCGTCGGAACACGACTCCTCTCCAACCTCGTTTTCTTCGACTTTATCTATTGTTTAAAATCTTTTAACAAGACAAAAGGTTCATTGTTTAAATCCGATCTTTAAGTTCGCTCTTTCGCACTACGAAACTTGACTCATTTAAAAAGTCGTTAATGGCCTGCTTTCGGACCCCGTTTGGGTCCTCACATTAACGATTTTAGTGATTTTCGATCGGTCATGTCATTAGTAACACTACACGCGGTCTATTATTAGGTCTACAATCTTTTGCATTATACAGTAAATTCCTATGCTAATTTTTTTTCGAATATTTTAAATGAAATAGTTGATTAAAACAGGATATAAAACTTTAGACAAGACATAACTTATAAATATACAACAGATGAAAAAAAACAATAAATGGCGAAAACTGTGAAAATCACTTGTTAAAACAACGAAAGTAAGTTGAATAGTTATTTAAAATAGATATTTAGCAAAACCTTGTGGGTCGTTATGTTGTCACAACAATGTAGATATTGCAGACCACGTGCACTGATACTTGGGACCACCATTATTTAATTCAATAGTTAAGAACTTTATACGTCGAAATTAAGTCGTCTTCCACCCGTTAAAGTGAAATGTATAATAAATCCAATATTTTTAATACTTTGCTTACGTCAAAATGAAGCACGTAATAATACAATTACGTGACAAAACGTATACGTTTTCATACAATCATAAAAACGTTATAGCCTAAATGTATTTAAAGCGCTATAGTGTTTCTGAAATATATACACATTAAGACGCACAGTGCAAAATATTCTAATAAATAGACCATGTGACCCATCAAAAATCGCCAAAATCCATAAGAATCCGATCGAGTCGCAATATTCAAAATTTTAATATCAATAGGATATGTCCGTTACTCGCCACTCCCATTGTGGACCCGACCGCATCCACGAAAGGCCCTCTTAGTACCGCGGGGCGAAAAGAGCAAGAGGGCCTTTTAATCAAGCTATTAGATTTCTATTATTAATCGTTTAAATAACGATTCAGGTTTAAAATAAACACAAATACATGTATTTTGTATGTACGAATCATAAGATTTATTACTGTTATATTTTCTGGTAAAAGAATTTTGCTTATTTAAAATAGATTTTTGCATTTTCTAATCGATCAAAAGTCTTTCGTTTTGTGCTGGATTGTCCATTGTGGTACTTCGAGTCACTCTGTAAGATTCTTTTGGTACTAAATGAGAACTCGGCATAATTTTGAAAGGAGGTGCCTTTTCGGCGGATGACGTGTGGAAGGCTGATGTATCCTTCAATCACGGCACGTCGTATTGATAAAGATTTGAACGTGGCCTCGTGTGTTGATTCAAACATTCCGTATCTAACCGTAACGACTTTTCCTTTCTCGTTAAGTCTTCTTCCACTCGATGTAGATGCGCTTGAAGTTGATTCAAAATTAATCTGCGAATATATTAAATAAATTCCTATTATATTTTTATTCTTGTAATTTGCAAAGTATTACTTTGGCTGCATAATTTGATAGTAAGCTGATTTAAAATTGCGTATTGAACGATTACAGATTTTTCAATGAAAATAATCAGTCTTCAAATGAATGTAACGTGTTATCTAATTAAACAGGAGGAAAATTTTAATGCGTATTATAAAATTTGTAAAATAAGAATATGTTGTAAGAACCTTGGCACGATTACTAGATGCTGAACTTTCTAACCAAATAGACAATTAGAATTTGTACTGTACATGAACCTTTAAGATTCGAATTGAACTTGTAAATTTTATTAAATTTAAGTTATTAATGAAAAAGTTCGTACCTGGCATTATTTAATTCCTTCTCCAGTTTTTCTTTTGCTTTATTTAACTGCGCATATTCTTCTATCAGTCCCCAAAACACACGATCGGCAACTAATTCCATTCTTGGTCTCCATTTTCTATCATCTAAGTGCGTATGATTTAATTCTGTATCTGGACTGCTGTATGTTTATGCATATAATTCGTCTCTGTAATCCAAAAGGTTTTTTGGTAGACGGACTCACAGCAAAACTTTTGGTTAGGAACTCACTTTTATTCCTTAAAAAATGACATATGCATTTCGGGTTGGTATACTCATCCAACCCCTCTTCAGTGCTAATTTTTCAAAAAATNCTTGTTAAAACAACGAAAGTAAGTTGAATAGTTATTTAAAATAGATATTTAGCAAAACCTTGTGGGTCGTTATGTTGTCACAACAATGTAGATATTGCAGACCACGTGCACTGATACTTGGGACCACCATTATTTAATTCAATAGTTAAGAACTTTATACGCCGAAATTAAGTCGTCTTCCACCCGTTAAAGTGAAATGTATAATAAATCCAATATTTTTAATACTTTGCTTACGTCAAAATGAAGCACGTAATAATACAATTACGTGACAAAACGTATACGTTTTCATACAATCATAAAAACGTTATAGCCTAAATGTATTTAAAGCGCTATAGTGTTTCTGAAATATATACACATTAAGACGCACAGTGCAAAATATTCTAATAAATAGACCATGTGACCCATCAAAAATCGGCAAAATCCATAAGAATCCGATCGAGTCGCAATATTCAAAATTTTAATATCAATAGGATATGTCCTTTACTCACCACTCCCATTGTGGACCCGACCGCATCCACGAAAGGCCCTCTTAGTACCGCGGGGCGAAAAGAGCAAGAGGGCCTTTTAATCAAGCTATTAGATTTCTATTATTAATCGTTTAAATAACGATTCAGGTTTAAAATAAACACAAATACATGTATTTTGTATGTACGAATCATAAGATTTATTACTGTTATATTTTCTGGTAAAAGAATTTTGCTTATTTAAAATAGATTTTTGCATTTACTAATCGATCAAAAGTCTTTCGTTTTGTGCTGGATTGTCCATTGTGATACTTCGAGTCACTCTGTAAGATTCTTTTGGTACTAAATGAGAACTCGGCATAATTTTGAAAGGAGGTGCCTTTTCGGCGGATGACGTGTGGAAGGCTGATGTATCCTTCAATCACGGCACGTCGTATTGATAAAGATTTGAACGTGGCCTCGTGTGTTGATTCAAACATTCCGTATCTAACCGTAACGACTTTTCCTTTCTCGTTAAGTCTTCTTCCACTCGATGTAGATGCGCTTGAAGTTGATTCAAAATTAATCTGCGAATATATTAAATAAATTCCTATTATATTTTTATTCTTGTAATTTGCAAAGTATTACTTTGGCTGCATAATTTGATAGTAAGCTGATTTAAAATTGCGTATTGAACGATTACAGATTTTTCAATGAAAATAATCAGTCTTCAAATGAACGTAACGTGTTATCTAATTAAACAGGAGGAAAATTGATCAATGTGTTTGAGTACACATTGATGAAGGAAAATTTTAATGCGTATTATAAAATTTGTAAACTAAGAATATGTTCTAAGAACCTTGGCACAATCACTAGATGCTGAACTTTCTAACCAAATAGACAATTAGAATTTGTACTGTTCATGAACCTTTAAGATTCGAATTGAACTTGTGAATTTTATTAAATTTAAGTTATTAATGAAAAAGTTCGTACCTGGCATTATTTAATTCCTTCTCCAGTTCTTCTTTCGCNAAAGACACACAGAAATTAAAACACCTTAATTTGTTGCCGAGAAATATATTTGAAAAACAAACGTTTTCAACCTGATTAACAGGCCATCATCAGGTCTAAAAAACGAAAATGGAACACATACGTTCCATGTATAGAATATAAATATTTAAATCAAAATTTACAACAAAAATTTTTTAAAAATATACAAGAGAAACGGAAGCAAATATAAAATTAACACAAAATAAACTAAAAAATAAAAAAATATAATAAATCTTCCAATAAACTAATTGTAGCTTGAGTTTTCAGTGAACTTTTTAATCATGTATTTCCATGCCGACGATAGGCTCTCAGCATCTCTGGCATTTAAACATCCCTCACGTAGCCTACTCCTATATATTTCAATCTTCTCCGCCGTCATCGATAAAGTGACGGCGGAGAAGAATAATAAGAACGAATATTAATAATTACCTGCAGTTTCCATTCTATTTTATCTTCAGTTTCGTGCCTTAGTTGTAAGCTGTCTTGCCTCAATGCAGTGGACTTTGCAATCATATCCCTGCTGATTTTCTCTAAGTCTAAATTGTGCAAGTTCCAGTCGTCTAGAGTGTAATAAATCGTCGGCTTATTTGTTGCGGCAGGAAACATTGTTTACAACGAAGACGATTTCTAATCCCGAAGAACAAACTAAATTTTTCTACCATCAAGAAAATAATCGAATGTAATTATTTATTATAAGTTAATATTTAAGTTATTTCATTCAACTCTACACTTTTTACCTGTATTTGAATACCTCGACGTTCGATAACTGCCAAGTGAATCGAATTTAGCTTATTTTTATATTGTTGCTATGGTGATTGTGTCGAAAGAATTGTGTTAATGACGAAAGGAAAAAAATTGTTATTATTATTCATTTATATTTATATAAATAATGTATTTTAAAGTTTATTTTCTAGTTTTAATATTTGAAATGTATATATATAAATTTTAATTGTAAAATTTCCAAGTTTTATGACATTTAAACTATACGAAGCGACAGAAAAATTTCATATTTTCTACTTCAATTTTTTTATATTTATAATTTTTTATAATACCTTTTATTAATTATTATTTAGTAGAAATTAAAAAAAAAAGAATAATTTTGAAAATTTGTACAAGAATATTTTGGAGAATTTTTTTTTATTTGGAATTTTATAGAGGGCGATTTTGTTCCCTCGATTTAAAATATCAAACTTGTTTTTATAAACATAAACAACTTTGATATTTTTTTGTATTTATAAAGAATATAAAATTGAATATTTAAAAAATGAGAATGGGTTTTTTAATTTCTTAAAATAAAGAATATTTTATTTATATTTATTAAGTATGATCATTATTCCGAACAGAAGGATCGTATATGGAGTGAAGCTCATCTATACAACCTAGTGTTATAAAACCTGTAGAACGAACTTTCCTATTATAAAGAGTTTATTATTAATAGAGCTTTTTTATAAGGTTCTCCACAAAACTATAGATCCACTGCAAATTTACTATACGAAGGTTAGGAATTACACATACGATGTAGCTAGCTACCTTTCATATATTGTTCGGGATTTATGAAAACATAATTTGTCGATACTCAATAGTTTCCTATGTCACAGAAAACAAGCAGAAATTGTAAAAATACTGATTTTAAGCACCACAAAAGTATAGAATCGACTAGAGCATTAAATACTACAGAACAGTTTAATTTAGTAATTTATTTGCGTACTTCCTTTACTAATAGCATCGTAAATGCAATCTAGCATGCTATCAACAAGGTTTTCTTTTTATGATCGATGCCTCAAGGAAGCTCCAAGCAGTGACAATTGCTTGTTTTAAGTGTTTAAAGTCTACATACTGCCGATTTTTGTCATAAATTCGGCCAACTAAAACTCCCAATAGGATTGCAATCGCGAGAACGAACTGGGCAATCCGTTTATTTTCAAACCACTGTTTCGTATCTCGTGATACATGAGTAGATGTGTTGTCCTGTTAGAAAATAACAGGAATTCTTCTGGATCTACGTTTGTATGGCAGCAATTTGTTCTTCAGAACTTGTTGATAGTCTGCACTGATCATGCGACAGGTAACGAATGCCAAATCCAATTTTTCCAATGCAGAAAAAGCACCCCAAACCGTAGCCTAACACTTCCACCACCGAAATTCCTTCGCGAAAAGTACTTGGGCTTTTTTCGTAAATACGCCAATAGAAGGATAAACCATTTGGTCCAACCAAATTAATTTTTTTCCTCGGCCGAAAAGATTACCTATACGACAAAAATGTTGTTATTTCTTGTGCTAGCACGATAAGTCTAAACGAAACAAAAAAATTTACCTTATTCCATTGAGTGGCCATATTTTTCCTAGCAAAATCGAGCTGGGCAGCTTTGTGCTCGGGCTTAAGAGCAGGGACACTTCTCATTCGAAATCGAACAATGTTGTTGTTGTTGTGTAAAACCCTTCAAATGGTTTCGTGATTTACTGTACTTGAATACCTAAATCGTCCCGAATTTGAGGCTTCATTAACAATTCGTCTGCGGTCTCGCGGGGTAAGCTTTGAAGGACGTTCACTTCTACGCTTTGGTCCATAATTTACAGGATTTGACAAATAATGCCGAACTACTTTTTTCGAATTCTTGATGCTGTTTGCTACTGCCTGATGACTTAAACCAATGCTTCTCAAAGCTACAATTTGTCCTTTCTCAAAGTCTGTTAAATGGGCACCACGAGGCATGATAGAAAAAAATACTTTCACATTTGAAACTTGCGAGAAAGATGGTGTTCTATACTTATGTAGCAGTATGTAAATTGTCTTCATTGCTTGACTTGATTGCTATTCCGCAGTCAGCCACGAATTAGATACTCAAGTTTCCTAAAATTATGTTTTTATAAGTTAGGTGCTGAATTACGTGTAAAAAATCGATTTCTATCTATTAGGGCAGACGCGAATTTAGTAGCGAGCGAGAGGTTGCGAGCAATATAGTTCTCGCAATGCACAAGCGAAAAGCGAGAAATATCGCTGGCGGGAGCGAATTTCTGGTTCTTGCACATATCTGACAGGGTTTGTGTCTCGCCTCTTCTCGTCACATATTCTCGCTCGCTCGTATCTGCATAGTCGCATCCTTGGTGCATGTTCTGACCTCAAAAGATCAATTTTTCGAGCGGTTCTATACTTTTGTGGAACACCTTATCCATCAGTTTTGGTTTAACTATAAACAATTATTAGGTTAATAACAGTTTTAGATTGTGTGAAGTCGTAGAGCAGCGTGGATTTTCGAGATACAGTAGTACCTTTCATATAATTACAGTCGACCCCCTATAATTACGGTCCCTATAATTACGATTCCTATAAAACTACGAAAAAATATACGTATTTTGGAAATGTTGAGTCGGATTAGTGTAGAATCGATTAATTTTATGGAAGAAAACCTTTCAATCAGCCGTAGTCTGTAAACTTGACACGTGTCGGGCTGTGATTGGAACGACTTGTAAGAAATCGGATTCCTAATAAATTGGAACGTATCTATATCTTATAGGGGGATCGACTGTAAACTTATATAATGTAGAACCTTCTATAACACGGTACTTGATCATGTTATTTTATTATTAAAAACATTTTATATTTTTGATTATTACAAAATGGCAAAAAGCTTCAGCCGGGAAAGTAAAAAGTGCTCTGTTATAACACAAAATAAATGTGGTGATAAATATTTTTATATTTTTTTAAACTTAAATTTTCTCCTCTTTAGCTTAATGCATTTATCTTTAGCTCAAATTGTTAATAATACTAGCATCAAGAACGGAAATTTCGGCATTTTTATTATGTAGATCTACAGTCTGTAGGCTTATTGTTATTAAGGTTACATTTGAGTGACCCGTAAGAAATTCATTTAATACATATTTTCATTGAGTCTTACGTGGCTATTTATATAAATTATAGCCTTTTAATGCTTATTTTTGATCTTCCATTAATATCTACGGTTACTAGAATTATATACATCACAATAAACTTCCAATATCACTTCAGATCATAATAGAAACACTCTCATATAACCAATTAAATGCGACGAATTTGTGATATTTTTCATTATTTATAAATGAAAATTTCTGACAAAATACCTTAAATGATCCAGTCATTATTTACCATTAATTTTATTAAAAGTTTCGTGATTAACCCTCCAGAATGGACCTTAAACTCGTCATTAATAAAATAAAATTTACGAATTTCTATATAAAACTAGAAATTATGTAATGTTTTATTGACGTAGACGTACGTCGAAGATTAAATTTTTGTTTAAAATGAATTCTATCCTACTAGTCAAATTTATATTTTTTTGGTTCTTTTCTCGTTTTAAAATGCGAATAATGTACACAAATAATAGACTTTAACATAGAACCGACTTAATTATGAATTATTTATTTTTATTATTCGAATTACGGAACTTGGGAAAGATTTAAAGATAAATACTACACGAAAATATATTTTCATTTCCATTAATTGCCATAATAATTCCACAAATTACACGTACAGTATTTAAATTATAAATTAATCTAAAATCAAGTAACTTCAATAAATATCGAATCTTTAAACAGTTAAAAAGCAACCAAAACGCCGAGTTCTTCGCGGTAATCCTTAATTTTGTCCCTTTCCCCCGCGGTGGGGAATTTCGACATCTATATAATATACAAGTTCTTAAACGTGCACGTACAGTACGTATAGGAGACGCGTACCTATCTCCTATACGTACGCGTCTTGCCTCCCGCTGACACCAAAAATATAACGCTTACCTAGATGATATCTTTTAATTTATATGAATGTTTAACGGAATAATATACAGCCTATATCCACGCTGAAAGTCCATTCTAAATACTGGTGAAAGAATTTTTGAAATCGGATGAGTAGTTTCGGAGATTACCTCCTACATCCAAACTTACAGACTCTTTATAATATTAGTATAAATGAGAACACTGCTTAATGTTGTTCTGTGCACTTTAACCGAAGTGGAAGAACGAATCTCGAATGTCCGTTCGTAAATTGGGATGGAAAGTCAAGTCCAGTTGATTAAGTCGTAACCGGGTGAAAGGTCACTTCCGGGTGACTGTATCACATTCGGTGGATTGTCGAAATCCGTGCAAGAAGGCTCGGCAGAAAGAGTGTTACTTTTAGCAGCAGAAAAAGAACCTTTTCCACCAAGGCCTTTTGCGCTTGACCGCTTCTTCCACCATTTCTTCTGACTCCTTTCTGTCCAGTCACGTCTCACGTGACCGTGTCTCCACAGTGCATTCCGCAACTTTAAGATATCGCCGCTCCAGATAATGGACAAAGACGAGGCGCTATTGTCCGGAGTTACGACGACCACCCTTTTGACAGCGACTCCGCATCTTTCGGAAGCACCCGTATACCTTTCGATAAACAGTTGATCGTCAAGCTTTTCAATAGGATTGGATCGATCACAAACTAATCGTCGTGGAATTCGAAAGTAATTTTGTATTATTTCGTTTTCATACACATACTCTGCAAAGTAAGACACATCTTCCGCCATGTTTGCCGAGATTAGTACACTAATCGCCCGAATTTGGTGGATTAGTTACTAATGCCAGATTACGTCTAATCTTAGAATGGTGGAACGCAAAATCAGTAATCCTGTATTAGCGATAGTTGTTAATCCTGCGATTTGCCTAATCGTCTGTTGGTGAAATAGGGGGCTAGACTTATAAGCTAAACACTCAATTTTCAGAGACCCATTTTTTTTTTTTGGTAACACTCGAGAAGTGAGTAATTATTTGGGTAAGGAGCTGTTTGTGTTTAGGGCTACATACTCATCAAGTTTCGTTCGAATCGGAGACCCGAACGTCTGGCCGTCTCCGTGATAGTATTGCAAAGAAATGCATGAAAATAAATATTTGATGTTTTCTCTTTTTCGGATTTACAGGAAGAAACAAAACAAAACAATGCAATGTATTGCAGTGTATTGTTTTGTTTCTTCGTACATTGGAACATTTAGGATACGTGCCTTCTTTTCGTTTGTGTTGCCTTTTTCTTAATCTCCAAGGTGAGCCCAAATTTCATTATCAACAAATAACAAAAAATTCATGACTTATAGTTTATTGCGCACATATAAAAGAAACTAATGAACGATATTTGTTCATTATCCCGTGCAACTTCATCGTATGTTGACCAAAACTTAGTTTTGAAAACAAGGAACGTTCCTTGTTTTTGAAGACAAGATGCCCGATTGCAACTAGTGCCACCTTATGTGAGTGCTGATCCGACGTTGAATCATAGTTTCAAACATCTAGTATAATGTACGATGTTCTTTTTTTTATTGTTTGTGCCCCTTTTGCACACTCTGCGGGCTTCAACGACCGGATGGCCGATCGGTCGAGGTGATAGCCTAAGGCTCAGGGGGACCCAAGATCGAATCCTGGCGGGTCGAGAAAGCCCCAGAAATTTTGGGGTGCCATAATGAGGCGTCCCTCACCACGGCCGCCCCTGGCGGAACCCATAATAGTCTCGCTAAAAAGAAACCCTCTTATTCACAGGGCGGAAATAATTTTAAAAAAGTCTGCTGGCGCCGCTGCACTATTGTGAATCAAAACCGTACTCAACAGCAGGTTAGGCGCCTCTAGTGGTGGATTATGGAACTTCGGTGGTCACGTGAGTAGGACAAACCTTGAAAACCAGGCTTTTACTATAATATATGGCCATTGTATTATGAGTCATATATCTATCGACTCTGGGTATTCACAGGGCGGAGACTAAAAAAAAAAAGTTATAATCTCGCAGTTTTTATTAAATCGAATTTACCTGTAATATTTTAAAAATATATTAATCTAAATAATTTTTAAGTTAAAAATAATAATAATAAATTATTAAAATTATTTAAAATAGAAATAATATGAATAAAAAATAAAATGCGGCAGTTAACGTTGCCGGCGCGTACATCCATTTGAATGGATATGCATCGGGCATGCGCACTTTAACGATGAAGACGCAGCATTGGAGTTGTCATTAGCGCGAGGTCGTTCCGACGTGTTTTTAATATCTAATGAGGACAAACACGATAAAAATCACATTTATCTTGTTTGGTAAACAAAATCCTAATGTTTATTTTCCTTCCCTACACGTCTGTCATTGAAATTTTGTAATTGCAATCCTAGAAACAAATATGGAAGAGAGTGCAGACATTGATCCCAAATTACCCGCGAGTGACGGAAATTAACAATTTTCATTTTCTCACGTGTTTAAAAGGATCAAAATGACATCGAAATTAAGTTCGGACGATCATAAACGTTTAGAAAGATTTACGAAGTCTTTGGTTTTGAAAACCGTTCAAGTTATAGTTCAATCCAGATTAGGAGAGAAAGTTAAAACTCATTCTAATCGCCATTCGTCTGCTACGGATTGGGTAAGTTTGCTTTAATTCTTACGCTTATTTTACATAAACATGAACTATTTTGGTTTAAACAGAATTAAATCTGCTAGCTTTATGGTAAGATCTATATATAAATTACAGATAAGGGATGACCAAGCCTTGTCTGCAATCTTACAAAAATACTTTTATATGTGTGAGTGGTATGTACCGTACCGAGTCTATAAAAAGAAATTATATAGCCACGGTACGGTACGAGAAATCGTAGAGCCGTGGTAAAGCTACGGTTTGGCCGCCGTGATTACGGACAAATTTAATTTATAGTTTTGTTATGCAACGTTATTAAGATGCTACGAGTTGTACAGAGTAATGACACAAATAAATAAAATGTAATAGTATAAACAATGTAGTGTATACTCTTTTAAATTCTGTTATCTTAATGTGATTTCGAGTAGATACGCAAGCTGTGAAGTCGTACGGGAACGGGCAATTTCTTCTTACTCTCGATCTCTAGATTTAGATGTAAATTAGATGATCGATATTTAAATTTAAAGATTGAGTAGGATGCTTGAACCTTGATTCTTCAATGAATACTCTCACAATCTTTTAAATTTATTCTGTGATTCTGAATTGTGTGTGTCAAATAAGGAATTCTTTATCTTCTGCTGTAAAGAATCTATTTTGATTTTGAAGATGATTTTTACAGTTTTTGTGGGCTTTAAAGTTAAATATAGTAATTAATTTACTGTTTAGGAATGCCAAAAGAAAATTTGATTTGTTTTTCATTTCTTTACCCACTATTGTGTGACATCCTCAATACGTTCGTGTAATAACACATTTGTTTGGTGAATCCATTCGTTGAATAAGTTTGTACCGTGATGCCCTCGTTGCATTTGTGTTTATACTGTACATAAAACTTGAAATCTAAGTCAGCTGACCTTATCAAAAAATTAAATCTGCTGATATTAGGTAATATTAAGACCAGTCATGTGAATCTTGTCAGCAAAAATCCAATCAGCTCCAAAAAGATAAATCTTAAAACTGCTAAGCTTGTGTTTTAAATTATTTTGTATACATTGTATAATAATATTAGTTCTATATTTTATGGCATATAAAACACACCACCATTCCAGCACAAAAAATTATTTAGTGTATTTAAGCCACGGTGTAAGGAACCAAGTCTGAGCTTTATTTTTATTTTACTTTTATTTTGCTTTCATTATATTTTGTTTGGGGCTTATGTTTAGTTAAGACGAAGGTTTCCTCACCATTTACCTTAGTAACTTAAAAATAGAAGAAAAACCAACTCACCGACGAAAGAAAAGCGCCGTAGAAAAACTCGCGCACACTTGCGTTTCCCGAGCGGAAAAAAGTAAGTCCGCACCGACGAAAAAGGGGGGAAGACCCCACAACCCAGTTAGGAATCGCTAAACCTTAAAAGAATAAAGCATCCCGATAATTGTTAAAAAGAATAATGTAAAAGGTTAGCGAAGTATTGTCGGAAAATAATCTGCCAGATAAACAAGAAAAATTAGGTGATAGATTATAAAATTAAATCGCTTTTTGTTTCGCCAATATGCCATTTTTCATTAGTTCTTCACCTTTTGATCAAGATGTGGAAAAAGCTACGAGTGAATTGAATACTGCTGAAGATTGGAGCCTTATTATGAATATATGTGATAAAGTAGGCACGACAACAAATGGACCCAAAGATTGTTTTCGTTCAATTATAAAACGTCTAAATAGTCCAGTGCCTCAAATTGCAATGCAGGCATTAACTCTTTTAGATGCTTGTATTCAAAATTGTGGAAAAGCATTTCATCTTGAAGTTTGTTCTAGAGAATTTGAAACTGAAGTTAGAAAATTAATTGTGAAAGCTCATCCAAAAATAGTAGAAAAATTGAAATTATTAATAAAAAAGTGGGCAGAAGATTTCAAAAGCGATTCACAGTTGAGTCTTATTCCTTCCTTATATTGCGCTTTGAGGAATGAAGGTGTTGACTTTAATGTTGAAGAAACACCTAAAAAGAGTACTTTACAACAGGAGCTGAGTGCCAAAGGCATGCATGGGTTTTTGACACTCAGCTCCAAATTTTTTTTAAAACTGTATTCTGATTAAAAAAGGAGTAAATAAAAGTATGCATTCTAATTTGATGTGGAAAAAAGAAAAGTTTAAAAGAATTCCTATACAATTAAAATATTTTATATGAACACATGCAAAAGATGCTTAGATATAGCAAAAAACATTTTACAATTAAAAATACTCAGTAACCATGAATACCAGTACATGCTAATCATATCTGTATATATTGGTACTATGAGTTCAATATTAGTCTATTCAAGATTTGGGCTAGATAGAGGTTATCAGTTGCCTACTGAAGGCTACTATAGGGAATTCATTAGCCTAAGGATATTGCAACTTCACATGTAAGATTCAGGTTTTTTTTTTACAAAAGTTGTCTTACATGCCACAAAATATGCTAATTATTATATAATCTTCTCTGTTTCTGATTTTGAAATACAAATACAGTCGACCCCCCTATAACACGGTAGATACGTTCCTGTTTTTATGAATCCAGCTTCTAGGAGTCCAGCCAATTACAGTCCAGCACGTATGCAGTTTATAGATTACGGCTGTTTGAAAGGTTTTCTTCCGTAAAATTAATCAATTCTAGACTAATTTGACTCAACATTTCCAAAACACGTATAATTTTTTGGGAATAATCCATATAAACTATGCTATAAACAAAAAATTGTAGGATTACTTACCGACTGTGCCCCATTCGACTACGCCGTTGCTTAAGCTTGTTTTCGTCGTGGAGATTGTCATCGAATGGCACTCGCGTGCTTCCTGATAAATTATTATTTTTTTTCTTTTTGCGAAAAATTCACTGAACTTTAGAGACATCATTAATATAAATATAATTTTTATGGACATTAAATAATAAATGGTTTTTGGTAGGTCCGCTGCTCGTTTAAACTCAACGGTTTGTGCAATCCTGTCGCAACACAAGTCGGTGATGACATTTTACCAAATTATAGGAGTTTTTTTAGCATGTTTGTACGAATACTGTCACAATTTTTTCACCGTGATATAGGAATCTGAACTATAGGAACCCGTGTTATAGGGTTGATCTATTGTATATGTATAGTTTGCATACTCTAATGGAAATCCATAGGGTAAATAGTATATGTATATGATAATCTTGAAGTTTGTGTATGTGTGAATAATAATTATTATTACTAATGTAATAATAATGTGGGAATGGAATTGAATATAGGACAATATAAAATAAAGAGTAATAAATACGTGTAAATAAAAATTAATATAAATTTTCATGTTTAAATTAGTATATTGAAAATAAAATAAATTAGATAACATTAACAGAACTGGTTCTTGATTTTCTGTTGTTTCAAATAAATTTTTAATCAATCTACAAACTTCCTTCTACCTTATATGCTTAAATGCCTATTATAGTCCAGCTTGCATAGATAGGCATTCCTATTGCCAAGACTCTTGGATTTATCTTAGAGGAACAGTAGATAGAAAGGAAGCTATGTTGAAGTGCTCATTTATTGTTAGTAAGTTAGTAAATTTTGTATGAGATTTATTTTATCTTTTCAAATTCTTTTGCATGCTTCCTTGTTTTATCATGGAGGGTCCACTTTGTAACAAAATCTTTCACATTAGAACAAAAAAAGATTTTGCACAACATTCAATTTTGTGAAAGAGAAACCAAAAATGGCAATTTTATTATTCCTGTTGCTATTTCACAAAGCATGTATGTCAGATTGCTGGAGTATTGTACAGTAGAGTCCCATAAAACTCTGAGAATATATTATGCATTATAGGAAATTGCATTATCAAAACATGCATTATCACAAGATTTATGAATTTAAACCTAGACCTAAAAGTTGAAAAAAAAAAAAAAAAAAACATACCTCTGAACAACAAAATTCAAATTTTGCATATGTACTAGTTGCGTGTTGTACGGGAGTTTACTGTAGTCAACAATTAAAAAAATTTGCTGAAAAGAAGGCAGTGAAGATGAGCAAGATTTCTAGAAACAACAAAATTAGATGACATTGATTGTTATATGATTCAAACAATAATTTATGGTTTCTATCAAAGTCCTGTTAATTCTTCAATTATTGTATGTCTTAAAAGAAATGGTCAGTTTTCCTTGGAAGAAAAATGTGCGCCACATAAAGTATTTTTCTTATTTAAAAAACAGCACTTCTACACACAAATGTTCTCTTCTGTATTTGAAAAAAACACCAACCCTACTTTACAAGTAGACCTGTTTAGTTCATGCATGCTTACTTGTGTCAATGGTCTTAGCTAAGTTGGTTGCACAATATCTACTAGAATATTAAACTAGATTATCATTTAATTTTTTCATATTTACAATATAATATGATGCAACAAATGTTTTTGATAGAAAAAAATAAATTTTTAAATAGAAACTATTTTCATTATATAGATAATTTCCATTTATTTTAAGCCATAAAAATAAAAAATGTTTATATTGCCAAAACTCCATATTAACTTGTTTCAAATAATGTTCTTGAATTAATTTGCATGTTTATATTGCTGAAACAGTAATCAGTTTATCCTTGTTTGCTTTCTTAATAATTTTCTATGAAAGACAAAAAAAAAAAAACATTCTAAAAAATACACTGTTTTGAGCATATACTTGCTTTACAGGTGGTTGAAGCAATATATTTCTGGAATCTGTCTTGGAAATTATAATTAAATTTGGGTTTTTATTACTAAACTTTCTATTTAATATTAGGTACTTAGATCAGAATGTTATGTTTGATTATTTTACCAATATCAATAATATTTACCAATACCAATACCAATTATATTAGTAAATTAAGCTGTTTTGATTATTTATATTTATTCCATAAGGTAATAGCAAAAAAAGAATTAAAAATTAGTCAAGAAAATTTTTTTACAAATTTGTCATGTAAATTTAAATTTATTAAATTTTAACGTTGAATTTTTATAAATAGTATCTAAGACCAAAACC